GGTGCTTTATGTATGAAAATATCTTTTCATTAAGACAATGCAAGTTTTTTATTGTCTCATCTTTACCTAATGATACAACAAAACTTCCTAATACAGAATTGTTAGTGGTCTGAGTGTGAATGGCCCTTGCCTTTATTTTCTGAATTTAAATTACAATATAATTATTTTTGTAGATTTCATCTCAGTCTTAGTGTCTTATTCATGTGAGCCTTCCTGTTTTACAGATACGTTCCCAGTTATTTAACTGTGCGCTCTTGGTACTGATTTTTGTTCTTCTGTGACACAGGAGAACTGTACTGAAATCATGTCTAATGTGTAGCATTAAGCCATCTTGGTATTTCATGTACTAAGTAAACTTCCATGCAATGAGAGGGGAGATGTTGGGAGCAAGGGAAAAATTAGCCATAAATTAGTATGCAAGGAAAAAAATTAGCTCTGTGCTTGCCCTTACATGTTTTTCCTGGACAGCTCCTACTGGACATTGTTAAAGGCAGGATGCTGGTATTTGAACCAACATCATTTTAAAATGTCTGACTGCTAGTGTAGGAGACAGAATAACAGAATATTAGTGCAAGAAAAAGGGAGTGGCAAGGAAAAGAATTCAGTTTTCAGTCTCACCTGCAGCTAGTCATAGCAGTCCTTTAGTTCACATGTACTGATAATGTTATAGAAGGATACAACTGGACCTCTTCATTTTGATGCAGGTGGAGGAATTGTCTGCTCCCTTTTTTCTTTCTTGGTCTGTTCCTAGTTATAAGCACAATCATTTTTCTTGCAGTGCATTAATATTTCACCTCTATTCATTCTGTGCTAATGATTGACGTACACTGTGGCCTCTTCAAATGTTCCTCATGGCTCTTCCCTCTCAAGAGTTACACGTGACCTTTGCAGGCATGGTTTTGTGATGAAACTTTATGGTTTCATAGCTATACATGCAGTTTATATACATGCAGTTTATGAGTCAGGCTAACTCTTGATTTGCACTACTAAAAATAAAATTAAAAAAGTAAAATATCTGTGACTATTTTTGATTCATATGATGCGACAAAATGAGAAATTATTCCATAAGCTCTCTGTAGCTACATATGCTCTTTCTGGAAGTGTGGGGGGAATCAATGAGTGAGAGGGTCAGTGTGTCACTGAGCCTTTGAAGCTCCTCATTTCAGTAACAGGTTCACTCCAGAAGGATGTTGCCTCTCAGACCCAGTCTCTGCCACATGTCTTCCCCTAAACCTGCCGTCTGGCATCTGTGCACCATCCTCTATTGGCTTCATGCCCTAGTGTTGCTCCTTTCCTTCCCCTAGTTTGTGTGTTGTAGCACAGTCAAACATGTAAGCTCCTTATTAATTGGCAGCCATTGAACATTAAAAGTTAATTTAAAAGCCCACTGGATTACATTGTGAACAGTATTCCTTTCATTACATTGTCCATTATTTAAAATGTATAATTTACATATATTACCACTTAATTTCACTTAATTTTTTGTAATGAGGTGCTGAATGGAAGATTTTCAGGATTTATGAGAGTACAAATGAAAGGTTTATTAGGCATTTTTAAGGTTAAGCCTATGAATAGGTATACATGACTAAAACTAAGTATGTTTCTGTTAGTCTGGGGTTCTAAAATGGTATTGTGCAACTGCATATCTAAAACATGCAAAATGGTTTAGAATATTATTTTCTTTTTTGATTTAGGTCATGGATCCTACTCTTTTCTGTTCTTCCTTCTATGAATTTATTGGAAGGTTTTATGGTGGCAATTTTCTGTGTTCTGAACATGCAGCCGATACCATGGATATCCTGCAGTCGTCTTTACTAGAATAAACTTCTCCTTTGAGCCTAGACCAAAATCATTATAGTTGTACTTCTGGATTTTTTGTTTGTTTCTTTGTTTAACTGCTTTAACATGCTTTAGGTTAACCATGGCCTATCCTTTATCTCCCTCCCCCGTAAGGAAATTTTTCTTTTTCTTCACCCTGAGCCTGCTTTTCCTTTACTACTCACTTTCCTTTTCTCCCCCTATACCAACTATGTTGTCTAGTTGCTTCCATGGAGGTCTTTGTATACTATCCTTTTGTATTCCTTTTGGTATGTTTCCTTTTCTCTGAACCACTTGTATATATGATTTGGTATTCTCATCTTTTTGTCTCAATGGAGGGGAAAAAAGGTAAAAAATGACTGCATTTTCAACAGGTTTGAGGAAGGTGAGGGCCAAACTACTCAGGGAAGCTGTCCCACCCTCCTGAAAGAAATACATATGTAACTCATGTAGTTTGGATCATCTAATAACTTTTGCTATTTATGTTGCCTTGCTTTAGCGAGTTCATAGATAAATAGAATAATTCAGGTTGACCTCATAAGGTCAAGTAGCCCAACCTCCTGCTCCAAGCAGGGGTAAACTGCATTCTGACCAGTTTTGTAGCTTCCATGACAGCTAATAGGGCAGTACACCCAGTGAACAAGTTGTTCCACCAGTGTCCAACTGTGGAAATGAGTATGATAATTCATTCTCAGCAGATGCCTGTCATGCTGTCCTTCATCCTAGTGGTGACAAAGGAAAGCATACATGACCCACCTTGTTCCTTTGTTTTTAATAGCTGAGGGTAGGATGAGATGAATTCAGTGTTTTTCCACAGTGAACTCTGAAGTAATGAAGGAGTGTGAGTGAGAGAAAAACCCAATGCGTTTATTGAAAATGGGCAAACATAATTGCTGCTGAGGGACCAAGTTCGATCCCTTTTTCATGCTACTCTTAAATAACTGTCAATCTGGACCTGTCAGAGAAAATCCTGTTTGTTTTCCAGTTCCACTGGCTCAGATCTGTTCTGACAGCTTAGAAACCTGGTCATGTGTATGCCGGTGCCTGACTGAAGACATTGCTATGGATAGCCTTATATATCTGATGTGTTTTGTACACCTTCCAGAAAAGTGAATCAGTTGTTACGGCAGCCGTCTATTTTTATGTCCTTCCCAAGTCCCTCATTCATCCACTACACTCAGTTATTTTCTCTTGCCTTAAACCTCTGTGCTAGGATCAAGACTACTTCGTATTTAAAGGCTGTCTAGAGAAAGCAAGATCTGATTCAAGTACAGCAATAGAAATAAGACGGAATAATGCACAAAGGGCTTCTTCAACTTCTGGTTAAAATGAAGTGAATTTGTCATTTTTGTTCAGTTAGGACTGAGCTTTCTAACAACGTCTGTCATTGCATTGGTGACAATGTGGTGTGGAGGTATTTGAGCCAAACCTCAACTTGTTAACAAATTTGTGTACAGATCACAGTGCAGAACTGGCGCAGTCTTCAATATCTGCCTGAGAAGCTGGGTGAATACTTCATCAGTCATCCAGAATGACTGGAGTGATGACATTATGTTTGAGCATGTAATTTATTTTCCTGCTTTCATCCTGTCCAACAAATACCAGAAAGCAATTACTTGTGTTTCAACCAATACTGAACACAGTAACAGTTCCTGTATTTGGCCTCGTAAACTTTCCAAATTAGACAAATACATAAAATAGAAGTTTGACTTCTGAAAGTGAAGGCTCTGGCAACACTGATCTCAAGGGAATGAGGTCAGGGTATAATTGTTACTCCCACAAGCTTGTGTTTTCGAACTGTCTCTATTTTCTGTTTGTGTTTCAAGAACATCTGAAAATTTTATCTGAATTGTATGTGGAAACTGGAGAAAAAAATTACTGATGTCAATGGATTTACAAAGAACAAGGATAATTTTATGCTGCAAAGTCCAGAACATCTTCTTGTTAGAGATTGAGAATGTATTGCTGGATACCACCTTTAATGTTAAGGTGAAATAAACAAGATCACATTGTCTGGTTTTGGAAAAGCAGTCTTCGATCCAAGTGCCAGGGCATGCAGTGTACCATTAATCCAAAAGTGGTCATAACATTTTTTTGCATGCCCTTATAAATTTGTGTTAGTTGACTTAATGTACTGTGCTCTAATTAGTTAAATGGAATTCTCAGCAGGCACTTTGAAATGTACCAAACCGGGTTTTTTTGGTACCAGAAGGCATTATTGTGATGTCTTTTATTCTACTGTAACCTTTGTTTCTACTTTATATGAACTACCTTTCACTACTTTGCAATGTATTTGGTTTGTAAAAATAGGTCTTACACCAAGACCGCACTATTGTCTGATGCTGCTGTAAATGAAAAGCTCTAGCATATTATTGTTTTCTAAAGCAATGCTGAAATTCAGTGTCAGCTCAAATTTTGTTAGGATGCTTTTATATTTTGGGCTTCTAATGTATTTGCATGTTTAACCTTCTGAAAGTGTAGGCATCACTAGTGGGGATTTATAGACGATCAGACTAGTTGAGAGGAAGATGTATCCAAAGAAGCCTTTAATGGTAGCTAACTGCTTCTGTGGGCCCAATTAAGACTATCCAACTGTGAAACACAGTCCCCTGAGTAACGATGCATTCAGCTTGCCTGGGTTTTTTGAGGTGGGGGGAAGGAGGCCTGGAATAAGGGAGTATCTGGTGCAGCTGTGAAGGAAAAAATATTTTAGAGTTCTCTTTCTCAAACAACAAGAAAAAAAAACACCCTGAATCCAAACTAAAACAAAAGAAACTCTCAAACTTTTGGTATGCAGTATTAATAAAGGTTGAAGTCAACTTTACATATGCACCACATTCTAGACTTGATGCTGTAGTAGCTGTGCTTGAGATCTGGACGTGTTGTTGGTCCAAAATCAATCTTGTCACTCCTCAGAAGGCAATGAGAGATAATAAGTACTATTCACCTGATTGCCTTCCTGTTCTGAGACAGCTGGTGACGCTTGTCTTCCTGATAACCAGGAGTTTCAGATCTAAGGCAGGGATAAAGAAAAGCTGGGAGCTTGCTGAATCTAAATTTGACAGTCGATGGCTGTGTAGAGGGTCAGGAGGGATAGAATCTGTGACACGTATAAGAAAGGAACAAAATTTATCTGCTCTGGTTGCAATGATTAGATGTCTTTTTGTCTGGCTTTCTTACAGTGGATGATTGATTGTACCCGCCAGCTGGCTAATATCATAATTAACAAAGTTGCTACCATGTCTGAGAAGTTTAATCGAAAAAATTGCCGGCAGTATGATGCCATTGTCACAGAGATCACAAGCGCTGCAGTGTCAACTTTTGTACTGATGGAGCCGCAGGACTATGTAGATGTGCTGAGAAGTCGTTCACTGGGATCACTAAAGGTATGTTTCTTTCCCCTTACATTTCTTCTCTGTTTGTTCTTTTGAAAAATACAGTAGATAGTCCTTTGATGGTACCTTTCATTTCAGGGTACCGTGTGAAGCTATTCTGTATTTTAAAGCAGTTGCAATGGCAATCTAGGATATGTTTTATCAATGCATCAAAAGCTGAATAATCAAAACCATAGTTCAGTGCTACTCACCCTGTCTAAATGGTCTTCGCTTCCTTGCCAGATGCTTTTCACAAAATATATGGACACAGTAGTTTTCATAGCTGATTTTCTCAGTTGGAGGAACTAAAAATGCTGTTGACAGTCTATATTCAAGGAACTCATAGTTCAGTTCAGGTTTATGTTTTGTAATATTTCCTTTCATTTGTTAATTGAAGTTAGAATGTAATTTGAAAGGCAAAAAATCCCCCTGGGGAAATTCTCATATTTTTGTGTTCATAATTCAGTGTTAAAATATCTTGCCAACATATTTGCTTCTGTATGTGCATATCTGTGTGTGTGTTTGTGTGTGTGAAAAGAGAGCAATGTCGGTGCCGTTAGCTGAAGAGCCACTTCGCAGCACCTTTATAAAATGAGAATCTCGCTTATTCCTCTTGCACGTTTACCTAGTTTTCCAAGTTAAAAATTATTCTGCTGAGCTCTTCTTCTCTGCTATTGTATTTTTATGTGTGTGTGTGTGTGTGTGTGCTGCGTGGTAGTTCAGTTATGCTCTGGAGTATGTGTTGAAAATGCCAGCCTGACATATTGCTAATGAGTGTGCATATTGACAGTGACGGGGGCGTGTGTCTGTCTGTGTGCCATATATTAAAACAAAAAGAGGAGAGAGACAGAGACAGAGAGAGACAGAGAGACAGAGAAGGAAATATTGGGATGGGAAAGAACAGTTTATTTACATTACGGTATGTCAAAATGTTGTTATGGCTAAAAAATCAATTTTAAATAGACATGAGATGGAATCTGACAGTTCCTTCTCTCTCTCACAGGAGCTAATATAGCCATGGTAGGCGAATAAGGGAGACCCATTTATTTTGGTGGTATTATTATTTCTCTTCACAAGTAATTTTGACTTTTTGCTGTCAGTTTCTAAAATTTGGGAAGTGAAGTGTTTGCACTGTGTTTCAGTTCTGTAACGAGCCTGAGTTTTCTGTTGCTCCTCCGTATCTTTACAGGTAAAACAGTTTGAGCATTCAGGTGGAATTGTTAGAGTAGACTTGTGAAGGAATGTATTGCTGTATTACTAATGTAGGTGATTGTTTCAAACCAACATATTTTTGGGATGAGCTATTTTCTATTTTACGATTTTCTGTTTAGAGTTAAATGATTTTCTAGTTTTGAGCTGATATTATTGCAATGGTAATTTGCAACTAATACTAACTTGATTTTTTCAGAGAGATTTTGCGGTTCTCAGTCAATTTAGTGGCAGATAAATTATTTTTAATTACTAGACCAAGTTGGGAATACCAACTAAAATAATTTTTCTTTATTTCTTTCTTTGTTAATGGTCTATGCCTCAAAAGAGATTTCTGGTTTGTGAGGAAATACTTTTTTCCAGGCCAGTAAGATATTCCTGTATCATGATTATTCCTGTCATCAGTAACGGTTTCTAGGTTTTAACTTATCCTTATAAATCTACTGCTTTTCAAGAGCTGCTAAGCAAAATTAAAAATCTATGTTTTGTTTTGAATAGAAAATGCTGTGAACAGTTGCAAAATAGATTAGTATTGTGATTACAGACAATGGGGAAGATTAAGTTACGAAAACAGTATATTGTTGTTCTAAACTAAACCCTGTAATATTTTGTGTAATTGAGACTTTGTGCATTGTTAGAACTCGGTTGGAGTATCAAACGGTTGTGAGGATTAGAGCAGACAACTAAAGCAATGTCACAGTAGATGTGGCTGTTTTTTAACAGGATTATCTCCTGAGATGTGTAGAAATGAGCTCTTGTAATAGTTTCAGAGGAATTAATAATTTTAGTAAAATGTTAATAGCAAATGTGCTAATGTAAGGAGTTAGAAGATTAGTGATGCATTCTTTTGCATGGAAATAAGAATATAATAAATGTCCTGCAGGTGACTGAAGCTACTGCAATTTTATTGGAGATTAAAGTTTGATTGACCTTTGCTGAGGTGATTAACCCTTCTGAAATTAAAAGCCAGTGGTAAATTATTCTGTCCAATTTAAATGCAAACACAGAACAGTATGCTGTGTCATTCGAGTGTAAGGGGAAAAAAATGTTTTAATTTTCCTTTTGCACTCAGCGAGATGTGATTGCAGACAGCGCACAATTGGGCTCTGGTAGAACTGGCCAGTAGCAACAGCCTTTGCTCTGCTCGTCACCACCGGAGCAGCTGTGCCACGGGAGCACAGAATTTGGGAGCAGCTGCCTGCGATGAGTCCTCACATGCAGGAATGTCAGCAGGAACGCATGGAAGCACATCAGCAAGGTAAGCAGTGAAAATCACTGTGGATGTGTTTTATCTGCTACTGTGGCCCTTGAGCCAGCTGATATGTGTGTGAGTGGGCAGCGTAACACAGGTGAGGATTCCTGCCCAGCCTCGCAAGGCAGCTCGTCAGATTGGGGTTGCTTACCTGTGCGTGCCGTTGCAGGATGAGAAGTAAAGCTGCATGTATGTTGCTCTTTGTGTTTTTTTTTTTATCTTCTCCCTAACCCTTAAAAAGTCAGATTTACAAGCTTGCAGAACTGCACTTTCTGACAGAGCACTTCCTCAGGAGCAGGTTATGTGCAGGTATGAAAATCACTGCTCTGCTTAAACGGTGTGATTCCAGTCCTTCCTACTAAATGTGCACAAATGGCTTCTTACGTTGGAGCCAGTATGTTATGCTGGATGGATAGGATCAGGACATGATCTTAGCAGTTGACTAAAGCTAGTGGGATTACTCACGTGTGTAAAGTCATGCAGATGGTCTGAGTTGCTGTGGCTATGCTAATGAATGGCCTTTGAACACCTAGAAAGTTAATTCCTCATAGATCTAATAATCCTGCTTCACGTTACAGTTGGTATCTGTGTGTGCAAACTTTATTACTTAAATTGGAAAGACCTCCGTGATAATGCTTGCTGCATTTTTTATGAATCTTTCATTAAAAGTTGAACACTCAGAAATTCCTCCCAGAGTGTCTGCCTTGCTCTTTATTTCTTTTTAGCAAACAAATGAATATCAGGGCAGTGGTTTGTTTTGTAATGAATTACACTTAATTTTCCCAGAGTAAGAGATCAGTGTGTTGCTATAAAATAGTGTACTGTCTAAAAGCAGTTCTGGAGGGTTATAGTGACTCTCTGAGGGCTTAACTTTACACTGACTAGAACCATTGTAATTGGATCCATTTTAAATTCACGTGTTCTTGTTGCTTTGGGTAAGAACTGATGAGTTTGTTAAAAGCCTTGCACCAAAATAGTGGTAAATTAGAAGCAGTTTGATTACTTGAGATTGATTCAGTTTGCATAAACAAGCCCTTGAAACATCAGTGCTGCTTTTTTTTTTTTTCCTCCCCTTCCTCTCCCTTAGTCCACCTCTCTGACCACCTGAGAAGAGTTAAATTGGCTCTTTGAAGGCTTTTTCTTGTGCACCAGCAGCAGTAGTTCTGGGAACTGGGCAGAAGGGCTACTGCAACTGTTTGACCTTAAGTGGACTTTCTGGCTAGTAAAATTTCCTATTCTTTCCTGCAGCTGCAAAGCATTAAAATGATAATGACTGTGCTATCTGCATTCCATATTCAGTTTTGCTCCTCACTTTTCATCAAGGAAGACTTCATATTGCATCTGTCAAGGTAGGGAAGTCCAAGGAATTGCAGTTCAGAAATTAAGGACCCTGAGGTAGCAGCTCACTTCTGTCTCATCTTTTCATTTACACTTTAAACAGCCTTCAGAGAGATGGGCTGCTGCTTCTGGGACCCAGTGAGGAAAGTGAGGAATAGATAAAAGCTAAACTTGTCGTGGAGTGACCTAAATGGAACAGCTGGCAAAAGTATAGAGGGGATCCTCCAGGGTACTGAATTATACCTTCAGGCTTGGATTAGTAGGATGTTTAACAAAGAGATCCATTTGCCAAAAGGATCTCTGCCTGGTTTTTAATTATGGGACTAGCACTTCCTTCAACATTTGTAAATTACTGAGCTTTTTTTCCTCTTGTAAGGTGTAGGGTACTGATTGCTGGCTTTGGGCTCTTGCTTCAGCTTTTCTCAAACAAAAATTTTTGCATGCTCTTGATTTAACCCTATGAAAACTGGGGACATGAAACATTTCAACTGTTACTATGTTATGAATATTGAGCTATATGATCTAAAGACAAAATACATAGTAACTTTACGTGTCTGTTGTTTTGCTTATAATCCTGCTTTCAAGTGTTTGAAGTAGGATGAAACTTTTCTTTAAACTGAGGAAGACAGTATTTATAGGATTTTTTTAGTCATATGTATCCACCGTATTTTAGGTAACAATAGTAGGTATGAGGCACCCAAGTTTTTTAATTTTAACAGCTAGATATCTCCATCCCTGTGCATAATTTACAGTAGAGCAATGCAGAAGAAGGAAAAGAGTGGGGCTGCATATGTGAGAAATTCTTTTTGAACTAGCCAGATTTCATACAACTTTTTTTTTTGAGGTATCCATTATGTACTTGTCTGTTTTCACCTAATGCTGCCATGCATTTATTAAACCTCAATACAAAAAAAAAAATAAATCCAAGTTGCAGGAAATAGTGATGCTGCAGCATGATAGAAAGTTTTCAAATGAGTGGCACATAGGACAATCCATGATGAAGTAATAATGTATGCTGTTCAGTGAGGAGATGCTCCTAAATGTGTCTGTATTTATCAATGTAGTCAGGCAGAAGAGATGGAGCAACGTAGTAAAATATTTCTGGAAAGTCTGTTGGAATACTTACTGTATCTGACTACTTGAAGCAAAAAAGTACCAACAAGCAGGTGGGTGGCAGGGGGGAGGCTGGAATGTTGTCACAGTACTCACTTCCTACAGAGTATAACATCTAAAATAAACACTGTTAGTCATTACAACTTCTGTTTTGCTCTTTTGAAAAAGCATTTGCTAAACAGGGCAAGTTCTTTCAGAGATGGGTCACATAAGTTTTTTTTGACGATATTCACTGTTGATGTTAATAACTCTTGAGAGACTGGACAGCTGCTTACTGTGCTCTATGATGCATAGGTGTTTCTTCTTGAAACATTAAAATGGAAAAAAGGTGAAGTTACAACATTGTTTCCCATTGCTCCCAGTGAGGATGGCATAGGGAACTGCATATAGTTTTAAGTTGGCCTGATAGTTGTTTAGAAGTTACCTTGTTCAGCGTTCTAACATTTCACTACATTGGCAGTTATCATTGTGATTATTGAAAACAATTCAAGATTTTATTCCTTCCACAATCTTTATTTTTCTTCTGAATGCTCTGTCAATATTCTCTTCATGTTCTACTGTGCCAATAGCCAAATTGGATGTTAATAAACTTTTAACTGCAGTATATGTTAAGCATATTTCATAATAGATCAAGTCACGCTTTTCTATATAGAGAAAATTTTCAGAATAGTGATACATGCACTGTACTGCATATGATTGCAAACCACACTGCAGTTTTTATAGCTATATAGGGTTAGACCTTAAAACTGTAAAGAATTTTTTTTTTCACACTGAAGTTTTTAGCAAAAGCTACATATTCCATGACGAAAATCTGCACATGATGAAAATGTGTTGTATATCCCTCCTCAAAATCTACACTGCAATCAGGGCACAAGATGCATGCTGACTAGTCTGAGTAAATGTATCATACTACTCTGGAAGTAAAATTCATTCATCTCTTTTTTTCTTGTTGGGGTGTGGAGGAAGGTGGAGGGAGAGGAGGGAGTTTGAAGCAGGCAAGTATGACAGATTCATTTTAGGCTTCTGTTAAAAATCAGTAATTGCCTAGGCATTTTTTCTTTTTTTATCATGGAAGATTAGCTGCAACTTGATAATTGCATTTTTTTGTCCATCAGACTTGTATAGTTTTCTGAAAGAGTGCATAACAGAGAACTGAGTTTGAATAACTTGAATAGCTGCATATCAAAACTCTTGGAGTCTAATGTTACAATGAGTACTCCTTTTCAACAGAAATGAAAATTCTGTTATGAATATACAGTTTCTTACACTGCTTTAATGTGGCTTTTGTAGTTTTTGGAGGGTTTCAAATTCTGGTTTGGGGGTGAGGGAAAGAGGAAGAAAGGATGTGAAGCTTGTAGCTCTTCTGGTAAAACGTTGAAAGGCAAGGAAGAATGTTTTTGAAGTATTTACTACTTTACATTCTTGAAATGGGTGGTGGGAGAAATTTCTAGAAGCTTGTCTTTAAACTAAACTAAAATATGCCTTCTTTGAAGAAGTTAAATTGAAAATGAAGTGAGGGCATTTTAATTTGAAATTGCCTGACTGGAAATGAGAATGCGTTTGGCCATTATGTTCAACAGTTCAAAAATTGCTTGAGGAAACATTAACTTTTAAAGTCCTGTTTGACTAATCACTAAATCTTTGGTCACAAATGAATCCAGTCTTCCATGTAGAAACACTGAAGAAAACATTTATATGAAAAAATATAGTCCAATTTCTGAAAATACAGACCAATTAGTGAGATTTAATTTAGATATTTGTCATTGAGTATGAATCACGTGCATGTTCGAAATGATTTACCATTATTTCCTTGTCTTATTTGCAAAAAGAGACTCCTACTTATTGAAATATTACTGAAGAATCTAGCTTTCCCCACAAATTACACACTTTTTGCATAAATGTGTCTAATTACCTGAATTCAGTTTTGATTAGCAGTGTTAATTGATGCAGCTGTGGATGGGCTCTGTTTACCTAAATTACCATGTGCAAACAGCAATACGTCTGAAAGTGAATATGCTAAACTGAAAATACTAATTAGCTAAGACAGATTGTTATTCAAGTCACATCTCAGAGCTTTTTAATGAAAGCCTGAATGTGTCAGGGCTTTATGGCATTCAGACAGAAACGTCTATATTACATATGAATTCTAAATTTAATTCATGGGAACAGATGGGATGTCGGCCGGGGTTCTTCGCTATTGCTTCCAGTATTAACGTGAATATTTTACTCTTCTGGAGACATTTTTCTGTGTATGTGAGAGAGAGGAGGGAGGAACTAATTGTGTGCATTGACAGTGTGCAGAACATCTAACTCTATTTTTGACCAACATATTTGCAAATTATAGCCATCTACTTTCCCAGACTGAAGATAAACTATTTTGCATATTTGATAAAGATAGTAAGTGTAATAAAATCAAATAAAAGTTAAACAGATCTCAGTAACAAAGATATCTTTTATAACAACGGAGATTTTTCCTTTTGCAACAATAATAAAAATATGTCAGTTTTTGATATGAGAGGAGGATTGGACTTCGCATTTCAAATTGTTGTGGAAAA